TGAACAGCAATGGTCAGTTGCTGCTCAGTCTTTGTGCTCAATACGGTCTAGCAATTACGAACACTATGTTTAGACTTGCCGCTAAGTACAAGACAACATGGATGCACCCAAGATCCAAGCACTGGCATTTGATCGACTATGCTATCGTAAGGCAAAGAGATTTCAGCCAAGTGCAGATCACCCGTGTTATGCGTGGTGCGCACTGCTGGTCTGACCACCGACTTATTGTCACTAAACTACGACTCCGCCTCCGCCGCCCGCGTAGATCTCCTATGAAAAAGCTTGCGTCTTTGGACATAGAGAAGCTAAGAGATCCTGAGGTGAGGAAGAACTATGCTGAAGCGTTGTCTAAAAAGCTATTATCAGTTAATGAGACAGGCGATGTTGATGCTGACTGGGGAACTTTATCATCTCATATCATGGATACCGCTTCAATTGCACTGGGTAGGAAATGCCGTCGCAATGAAGACTGGTTTGATGGAAATGATGGGGTTTTGCGGGCAGCACTCGACAAACACCGTGATCTCCTGCGACAGCACAGAAGACGTAAAGGAAGCGTTGCGGCGGTCAAAGCTAGTGACCTAGAATTGCGCAAACTGTCACGACAAATAAAAGACAAGTGGTGGCAGGACAAAACTAGTCATATGCAATGGCTCACTGACACAAACCAGCTCGGTGAGTTTTATAGCGAGGTGCGTAAGCTGATAGGTACATCCAACCATGCAAAGGTTCCTTTAAGGTCTCTAGATAGTAGGCACCTCTTAACAAGCAAGGAGGATGTACTAAAGCGCTGGGCAGAGCACTTCAATGCCCTGCTGAATGTGGATCGATCAGCAGATCTGCAAAGCATCGCTTTAATGCCTCAACTCCCTCTTGGCCTTGAGCTGGACGAGCCTCTATTGCGTGACGAGGTTGTTGCTGCCATCAGACAGCAAAAAGATAAAAGGGCGGCTGGCGCTGATCTTATACCAGGAGAGCTGATCAAGTACGGCGGAGAGGAGTTGTACACGTTGGTGTGGGAGCTGTTTGTTCGTATGTGGGAGGGAAGAGCGCGTTCCGGATAGCTTTAAAGTATCGCGCATAACTGCTCTCTATAAGAACAAAGGCGACCGATCTGACTGCAACTCCTACCGCGGTATTTCGCTCCTATCGGCCCCCGGAAAGGTCTTTGCTAGAGTACTCTTAAACCGCCTAAAGTCATCTGAAAAGTCATCTGAAAAGATCCTGCCCGAAACTCAGTTTGACTTCCGCCCGGACCGAGGCACATGCGAAGCGATCTTCTCTGTGCGTCAATTACAAGAAAAGAGCAGAGAGCAGGGTCGTCAGCTGTACCTCTGTTTTGTTGACTTGGAGAAGGCTTTTGACAGCGTGCCTCGCGAAGCCTTATGGTTGGTATTGCGGAAACTCGGATGCACGGAGAAGTTTGTAGCGCTTCTTAGACTCCTGCATGACGACATGCAATGCTGCGTCGCTGTAGATGATGAACAGACGAGCTTCTTTCCCGTTACCTGTGGGGTGAAGCAAGGATGCGTCTTAGCGCCTACTCTGTTCGCTTTGTACTTTGCGGTCGTAGTTAGAGAGGTTCTACAAACTGTTTCCCAAGGAGTCCGCATCCGCTTCCGTACGGACGGCAGCCTTTTCAATTTGGCTAGACTTAAGGCTCGCACCAAAGTGTCGTATGCATTGATCACTGAGATCATGTATGCTGATGACTTGTGCTTTTTAGCAGAATCCCCAGCCAGCCTGCAACAGCTGATGTCCGTTTTTCACCTAGCCTGCCGTAAATTCGGCCTGAAGATTAGTGTCAATAAGAGGGAGGTGATGTCCCTGGACAGTCACGGTCACGAGGTACTAACCATAAAGCTTGGTGAGGATGTGTTGAAGCAGGTGGATAAATTTCGCTATCTGGGGAACACTTTAACATCCAAGTGTGACCTTGATGATGAGATCAATAGCAGGGTTGGTGCCGCTGCTGCGGCATTTGGCAAGCTATGTTCCAAGGTCTTCTGCTCGCATGACCTTAAGTTGGCCACTAAAATTTCA